CCCGTCTATTGCTGACGGCGCATATCCGCCGGCGCAAATCATGCCAGCGCATCCGCCTATCCGCACCACGTCGGAGGTGTACATCCGGCCGGCGCTTTTCTTCCGTTGTGCAGCCGCCAAAGGCGCTTCCGCCTCTGAGTTGACTTCCTCCCATGAGCGCGTGATTCCGCCGAAGGCGCATCGCCGAAGGCGTACGGGAGTCCTTTCCGACTGTGAAACCTAGCGCGAACGGCGCATGTCCGGCTACGAGTTTTCCGATGCTCATAACTTCTTCGTCCCTGATCCATCTCCAACGCTCTTGGGCTCGTTAGGACGAGCGTCCCGAGTTCTTTCCAATGCAACTTCAACCAACTGGAACTACCGTGTATTCTGATCGTTATGAAGGTTTCCCTTTCCGCGCTAGCGGCGTATCGCAGAAGGCGCACTCATGGTCGGAAGCCTTAAGAGGTCCGTGCCGTTCTTCCGACGTCTTTAGCAAAATCTCCTCCGGAGTTGTCTGCGCCGGAAGCGTAGCTTCCTTAAACGCTGGAAGCGCGTGAGTAGAGACACCTTAGAAAAGGAGCTTTTGCCGAAGGCGCCGAAGACATTTGGCGCTGGTACATCCGACTTCGCGATTCTTCGTGACCTCGTGACGATCTCCTCAATCCACTCTATTTAACGTACCCTTTTCTAACTACAGACACTGCTTCGGTACTTGTTTTCTAAAATTGTTTAAATTCTGCAAAAAAAACAAAAAGTGTGTTACCACAACATGCCACATTCCTCGGGTGTTGGTGGTGGTTGCGTATGTGCTAACAACAGATCAAATTAAGCATTGGATTGATTATTAAGTCGTGCAATTAAATAGGGCTCTGAGTCAAAAACCTTTTGGACTCAATTCCTTCCAAGTCTGGAGGTACCTAGAAGCTGAGCGTTAGCCGGTCTGGGGTTGCGCAGAGATCACAGAATATTAGAATGACAGATACGAGATAGCTCTGTCGAAATTCTTCACCGAGCATATGTATATGGTATTCTCTGCCTCCACAGGTGACGATGATTGATTCCCTACTATTCGGAATTGGAGGTTTCAATCATGGGGCCTTCCATTGCTCCCGTCACCACCACCTGAGATCATCTTACCACCTCCTCCACCACCGTCCTCGCCTTTTCCTCCAAGTTCTTCCCCTTCTGAAAATCCTCCAAGTCCGTCACCTCGTTCTCCCCCAGGTCCAGTTGCTCCATCTCCAACACCTCCAAGTCCAAGCCCCTTGTCTCCTCCTCCATCGACATCTCCATCGCCTCCCACGTCCCCGACTCCTCCTCTATCACCACCTGCTCCCATTGCCCAGTCTCCTTCGTCAAGTTCACCAAATGCAACAGCCCCCATCTCTATCGGGGGCAGTACCACCACCACCAGTACATAGCCCAGTTCCCTCCCCGCCGAATGCGAACTCACCAGGACCATCAGGACCTGCAATTTCTCCTCCCAATGGAAACTCCTCAGCTCCATCACCATCTCACTCGAATGCTTTAGCACCCAGTCCCAGTTCTTTTTCACCACCAGGTTCTTCTCCAGTGAAACCCCCTGCTACAGGCCCATGAGGACCTCCTAACTCTTCTCAGTCTCCATCGCCTTCTTCTTCTTCTTCTTCTTCATCTGGACCAGTGTGAGCACAAAACTGTGCTCACATGTCTTTTTACCCTTATGAGAGTTAAAAGTTGGGATTTAAGCTCTTGCAAAATTATGCTTGGGTTTTTCTGAAAGTTTCTGCAAGATTAGGAGTTGGTGTGATGGTTAGGGGGCAAGAGGTGCGGAAAGAGGCCTTCGGGGCAAGGTCTTCGGCGAAGTGCCTTCGGTGAAATCCCTTCGGGGAAAGGCCTTCGGCGAAGGAGTGAAACTCTCATAACGTTTTCAATGTGTGATGCCTTGACTCAGTTAGGGTCTCGTTGGAAAGACCTCGCGACGCTCGTTCCAACGAGCCCAAGGACTTGTGAAACGGATGAGAGGTCACTGAGTTATGAGTGGCGGAAGTTTCTGATATAGAGGGGCTTTCGGCCTGTGCACGGGCGAGCCTCGACGGACGGGCGAGCCTCGACGGACAGGCGAGCCTCGACGGACGGACACCTGCGCACGGATGCGGACGCTCATAACTTTTTCAATTCTTAGCGGTTTGACTTGATTCGGGTCTCGTTGGAAAGAACTCGACGAGCTGGTTCCAACGAGACCAAGATCTCTTGAAACGGATGAGGCATCACCGAGTTAGGAGCGGCGGAAGTTTCTGATATGGAGGGCCTTCGGCGCTAACATTTAGAGGGGCCTTCGGCGTTAACAGTTAGAGGGACGGCTGACGACGCGGACGCCTGTGCACAGGCGGGTTGCAAGTAGGCGGCCTGTGCACAGGCAGGCCTTCGGCGGAAGAGGCGGACGAGCCTCGACGGACGGACATCTGTGCACAGGCGGACGGCCTGTGCACAAGCGGGTTGCGAGTAGGCGGCTTACGACGCGGACGGACGCGGACGCCTGTGCACAGGCGGGTTGCAAGTAGGCGGCCTGTGCACAGGCAGGCCTTCGGCGGAAGGGTAAAATCAACATATTGTTTTCAATTCTTAATGGTTTGCGGTGGTTAGGGTCTCGTTGGAAAGAGCTCGCGACGAGCCCAAGAACGCCTGGGACGGATGGGAATTTAGGGAGTTAGGACTATCGGAAGATACGTAGACGTTCTCCTTCGGCCCTAGATGTTCGCCTTCGGGGTTACGCTTCCGGGAATTCCGCCTTCGGAGGTAGGGAGATCGACTTTTGTCCGATGCGCGGACGGACGCCTTTGACGGTTGCAGGCCTTCGGCGGAAGAGTAAAACAGTGATAACTTTCTCAATTCTCATCCGTTTGACTTGGTTAGGGGCTCGTTGGAAAGAGCACAACACGCTCGTTACAACGAGCCCAAGAACGTTGCAAACGAAGCAGGGATCCGTGAGTTATGGGCGTCGGGGTGACTGTTAGAGATTGACAAGGTGTGGAAGTGCGTCTTTGGCGGTTGGACGCATTCGGCGGTGCGCGGAAGGAGATTTCCTCCGGCGAGGATCGGGTGGTCATGAATGTAGAATGTTCAGGTGTGGCAGTGGCGGCGGCGTGAAGTCAAGTTGGTGTGGCAGAGACGGCGGGGCATAAAGTCACGCATGGGAAGTAGGTGTGACCCATCATTGCGGGTGGGGCATTCAGGCGGGCTGTGGTGTGTTCGGCCTGGAAGCTGAGACCTGGTGGGGAGTTCGGCCTTGGGGCGGAGAGCTTGTAGTGTACCAGTGTACCAGTGTACGCGAGCTGGGATTGTGTGGTGTGCCATTGTGTGGAGACGCTGGTGGGATCGGTAGGAGGATAGAGTGTGGAGAGTTCGAAGGAAGAGGAAGCAAACTCTCGTGGGTGGAGAGTTGTATCTGAGTGTGAAATTAGATCGGGATCTGAGATTGAAGTGTAATCTGTGAGTGGGAGCTGAGATTGAAGTGTAATCTATGAGTGGGAGCTGAGATTGAAGTGTAATCTGTGAGTGGGATCCGAGATTGAAGTGTAATCTGTGAGTGGGATCTGAAATTGAAGTGACATCTCTGAGTGGAAGACCTGAGAATGGGATCTGAGATTGAAGTGTAATCTGTGAGTGGGATCTGAAATTGAAGTGACATCTGTGAGTGGAAGACCTGAGAATGGGATCTGAGATTGAAGTGTAATCTATGAGTGGGAGATGAGATTGAAGTGTAATCTGTGAGTGGGATCTGAGATTGAAGTGTAATCTGTGAGTGGGAGCTGAGAGTGAAGCGAAATCTGAGACTGAAATCTGACAGTCGGGATCTGAATTTGAAACTGAAAAGGGAGAGTGGAATCTGAGTAGGAATTGGTAGTGGAACTCGGAGCTAGGATAGACCACAGCGGCTGTGGTATTGAGAAAGTTACCCAGAGTTGGGTTAGATCTTTATGTAACAAAGAGCTTGTCTGCTGCTCTTGTGGAGATAGCAGACAGCAAGTTATTATTTTCAATTCTGGATAAATTGTCTGTGAAAGAGCAAGTGTTATGATCTCATTGTCTTGAATACACTTTGACCACATGGTTGAGATCAGAGAAGTTAGATTATGGGAGCTCGAACCCCCACCTGGACTACAAACGCTGAAGGGTGGGGAGTTTAGGCTCACAACCAGCGTCCGGTCCATCTCAGTCTCCTTCTTCTTCCACGTCTCCAGCAACTGCTGCTCCTCCTCCAACATCTCAACTCGCGCCAGCTTCAACTCTAGCGTCTGGTCCATCCCAGTCTCTGGCACCTTCTTCCATTTCCCCACCTCCTACTCCGTCTCCACTATCCAAAACTCCTACCTTTCTATTAGCGCCAGCTTCAATTCCGACATCTGGTCCATCTCCGCCTCCATCGCCTTCCTCTTCCACTTCACCAGCATCCGGCCCTGCTCCTCTTTCTACAACTCCTCCATCTCCATTAGCTCCATCGTCCCGTCCAACTTCGGGTCCATCTCAGTCTCCATCGCCTTCTTCTTCAACCACACCAGCTCCGGATCCTTCTTCCTCATATCCACCATCTCCATTAGCTCAATCGTCTAATCCAACTTCTGATCCTTCTCAGTCTCCATCTCCTTCTTCTTCAACCACGCTAGCTCCTGGTCCTTCTTCTTCAACTCCACCGTCTCCATTAGCTCCATCGTCTAGCCCAACGTGTGATCCTTCTCACTTCTTCTTCCACTTCCCCAGCTCCTGGTACTTCTTACCCAATTCCACCATCTCCATTATCTCCAGCTTCTACTCCAAGCCCATTAGCTTCCACTCCTGAGCTTCCTCCAGCTCCAAACTCACGTTCATCATCACCATCAGGCTCTCCTCCATCATCTTCTCGCCCAGGTTGTTCCCCAGGTTGGAGCCCCGCTTCAAATTCTACTCCAGTAATCTATCCTGGTACATCTTTTAGTTGTGAAGAAAAACTGGTAGGTTCGGAGATGCCATATGTAAATCTTTAGAAGTGCCATGTGTAGGGGCTCAACGGTCAGTTTTAGCAGTTTTAGAGGTGACACTTGTATAGTTTTAGAGCTGCCATGTCTAGTAGAGAGTGAACGGTTACTATGACGAGGCTGCTATGACTTTTTTTTGCTATATAAGGACTCTGGACTCCTTTGTTTTTCAGTCTTCACCAGTAGCGCCAAGCTTTGATTAGACGTTGAGTTCAGGTGTAACTCATATTGTAACTTGTATTAATATTTATGCTCTATAGTGCGCTAGCGGCTTTTATACTATCCGTTTGATTTTCCACAATTCTGTGTTTTTTATTTGCGACTATACAGTTTAGTTTGTGTTGTGTTCTCTGTCCGGACCACGTCCAGTGCACATAGGAAGTGGGAAGATCGTTACTCGAGTCGAAATCCAGCAGCCGCCAGACGATCCCCACCGTGTGCACTTGCTCGTACTTCAGCAGGAAATGAATATATCCATCGCAGGTCAACGAGGAACCCGGTCGTCGTTTTACGGGTTGGACGTAGAACTGATCACCAGGACCCAGGAGCGAGGGATCTATAAACGAGGCAGCGATCATCTTCCATGGCTTTGCGGCGGAGCTGTAAATCGCCTACTCCCTCTACCCGTCCGCATCCTCGCGCAGACCTGCGACCACAATTATGTACTGTCCCGTCTCTCTCGACGCCTCCATCCCCACCAGGAAGTCTTCCATGTTTTTTCCTTCCAGTTCTCGATCCATTCTACGAAATAAGTTCCTTCTGTCCGAACGATGGAGACAGCCACAAATCCTTCCAACTCTTTGTTACCAGATTACAGACGATCATGTGGCCATAGGTGCTCGTCGACCGGCACAGAAGCCCTCTATCCGTCGCCACGAACTGCAGTGAGTCCAGAGCCGAGTGCGTGTCTCGATCCCGATGCCGATTGAGGGATTGAGGTTTTAGAAAAAACCCGAGCGAGATCCGAAGCCATCTGGATTTTCCGGCGTCCAGAGTCATGATCAAGCCTTTGTCACATGTACCGAAGACACTTTTGGGGGCATGAGGTGGATCCCGAGTTTCTCGAGGCAGCTGGCGGTAAAACTCGGACGACAGGATCGACGAGTTCCAGAATTTGCTCAGGGAACGAAACTGCGCGAGGCAGGGAGTAGGAAGCGTCCGAAGATGAAATCGGATGATGATTTCTATTCTGTCCTCGGGTAGATTGCTACGCGGCAGGATCGAGGTCGATTTCCATCATCTGGTGACAAACGAGGTCCTCCTCGTCGTCGCGGAGACTTCGCTGGGGCCTCAGCAGAGTGAAACACTCTCCTCAAAGGTTGACACGGGCCGATCGACCTTCAGGTGAGACCAGAGCTCCATCCACGGACTGAGAATCGCTCATGCCATGCCATGCCACTCGCGATTGCAGCAGCTCCAGACTGGTGATCGGGAAAGGTTGCAACCACGCGATGAGAGCTGCAAATGAGAACAAAGCTGCACCTCGAGCTTGGAAGCCTCTTCATTTGAGGCTCCAGACTCTCCCTCCCTCTCTCCCTCCCTCCCTCCCTCTCGCTTTCCGACCGTTCAGCTCCTCGAGCTGAGACCGTGATCTGATTTGTGATCGTTGGTTTCAAATATCTTTGGAAATTCAACTTGCTGCCTGTGCCGGTGCAGCATTCTGGCTGCGAGCTCTGCCTCGGAGTTCAGCGTTTGGAAGCTCGAGGCACTGAGTTGAAGGCATCTCGTGGTCCACAGCATCTCAATCACCACTCGGGCTGGATTCAGATGCAGAGGTTCTGAAATTCGCATGTCAAGTGAGGATAGGACGAGGAGTAGAACGGCAAGTTGGAACACTATCGAGGAAGAGCAGAAGGTCGAAGGCACACGATATTGAGCACCGGCGGGATTGACTGGGCTCGAGCAATCGTGCTCGTTCGAAAAGAGTCTAGACTTAAGACTTAACATGTGCAGTAGGGGAGAATATCAAGTCCTGCAGGTTACGGAAACATCATTCCACGCTCAAGTATCTTTATTTTCAACCATGACGACCACATTGTACAGCCCATCTTTTTCTGGCCCCTCTATACAGTTGCCTGGGCCTGGTCACTGCGACCTCCTTTTTGAGGAGGCACCCCTTCTCCCGAAGTTACGGGCCTTGTTTGTGTCCAGCATCGTTATGGAGAAGGTTTTGAGAATCAAACAGATATTGTCTAGGCACATAAACTCTACCATCGCCAGGACAGTCTTCTGTAGAATTCCCAAGATCTCAATACTGATCAGACGAACAGTGCCATCTACAGATAGCAGGGATAACACGAAAAATGACATTTCTGAAATGATTAGAGCATACTTGGTGAGGAGAACCGGCGCCATGGCAAGAGACGCCTTCATCTGATAGAGATGATGTGTCGCTGTAACAAAAGGCAGTTTTTTATACCGTGGCATGCCCTGCAAGCAGTGCAGCATCTCTTATGAACACTAAGTTGAATTCTTAATTTTTCCTTGAATGGTGAGCAATCTGTCTGTTGTACCTGCGAGATTGGGACACAGATTTGATCGAAGGAAAGAGTAATAGGAAACATAAACTTTGGAATAAAATCTCACAACAGAAGCTGGGCCTGGACATGCATATCTTACCATGAGAAACTTATTTTTCATATCTTTGTACAAATAAATAAATGGCAGTAGTTACAATTAAGAAGTTTAAATTTCGAAGTTTCCCCTAAGACAGGGCCTCAATAAAGCTCAGCCCATCAACCTATTGTAAAGATCACATTAGTGTCGAAATGATTAGTCTAATCTTAAAGCCGTGTTTGAAATACTCTAATCTTGCAGCCGCGGTTTTTGAGACCCAGTCCGAACCCTCATTCGAAATCTACTCTTGAGACCTCAGTGTCGATAAGATTGCAGTAGGCTCCAAATGCGCAATCCACTGTTGTTTGTGCTATTGCACGTGCTCTTCTGTACTGCTATATAAATCATATTAGATAGCACGTCTCACAGTCACTCTCGTGCAAGGGGAAGACTGAACAGGAATAACTTAAGTGGGGAAGGAGACCGGGTTTATACCCAGGAATAACTTAAGTGGGGAACAAGACCGGGTTTATACCCAGGAATAACTTAAGTGGCGAACGAGACCGGGTTTATACCCAGACGATACACAGGTCAAACTCTGATACATGCATCCACGTAACGAAATCTTACTAGCACCGCTTACTAACTACTTACTATAAACATGCAAGGTGCAAATATTTACTAACACCTGTACTGAGAAGTAAGTGCGTAGTATCAATTCTAACAAATCATAACTAGCGATGGGGATATATAAATCACACAGCGTATCAAGACAGGTAAGTAGTTAGTCGTCATTTCACTTGCACCTTGAACATTCCTCTCTTAATCCTGTCGCAATCCTCTCGCAACATAACAGCATTGAGGCTCAAAGACAGAGAACAGAGTTCGGTTTTTTAGTCCAAATCATCTATTAGCAAGCAAACAATTCTCTGTTGAAGCTTAAAAGCTGTCGAACCATGTAAAAACATCGACAGGACACTTGAATGCGGAGGTGAGTTTGAATAATTGCATTCGTTTTCAAACGACTGAGAGAAAACCTGGACTTCGTCACGGTTGTCGTGGAATTTTCGGTTTTACGTGAGATGTGTGGTAGACGAGCGGATTGTGAGGACTCGTGGTAGCTAAAGTTTCAAGTCTCGGTGCTTGTTGAGATTGACCCGGTTACAGTTCCTCTTAATACACCGAGGTCTCTTAATACAGCACTCCGCCTGTGTGACGTCAGCTGTCAACGGGGATATTAGTAGCTCTGTGTGACTGTAAGGTAGTGTGGCTGGTGACATCCTGTCGAACAATCTGTCAGTTTGAAGTGCTTGCCCAAAACATGAAGCTTCAAAAACCCATCAGTCTTATATTATGCTGCGTACATCTTTCACTCGAACAATTCCGCTTGGGAATGGAGTCAGTCTGCATTCTCTGTATCATATGAAGAAATTTATGGACTGTTTTCTCCACGTGATAGCCACGTTTTATTGTAAGGATCTTTATTGAACTCGCTATTGATTTTTTTGTTATTAAAAAAGTGCTGTTGATGGGAAAGAATTCGGCATATTTTTCAATTCAAAATTAAGTATTACACGAATTGGGTTTAGACTTTTATTGTATGAGATGGCAAAGTCCAAGTGGTTGTTGTTATGGACGAGCTAAGATGGGAAAGTTCGGCTGTAATCAAGCCAAGAAAACACAAAGACACACATTGGACACTATATGGCAGGAATAGTAGAGCAAGACTAGACGGAAATTACAGGACTTCATTGATCCATCAACTCGTGCGAAAGTATATGATAGGATACATTTTTCTTTATACTTTGAGCTGTTATATCAATCTAGTCTAGATAAGCTGAACCTAGTAATGTCGAGAATGGATTGCATCATCAAGATATTGAGACATGGTCTAATTGCCGAGATGTCAACATTTAAGAGTAGCCAAGATGTGGTTATGCCAAAGCCTTGTACTTACCCTCCCCTATTTTGATTATAAAGACGGCCGTAAGAGTTGTATGTATAAATTTTAAAATTAATTATTTTAGTCATTATAAAATAATTTTTAAATTTTAATTATCAATTAATTTTATATAAACTATAAGATTATATATATGTGATTTCTAAAATAATTTTTATACCAAATAATAAAATTAAAACCTGCAAGAAGAAAAATGCTTTAAATGAAAATATAATAATAAGTCATTTTTATCATGAAATCAAATATTTTTATGAATATGTACGTTTAAAAAATATCTAATGAAAATAAAAAATAATTTTAAAGTTAATCCAGTTGACACTATTATTGTGGATTTTTAGATTAGAAATCCAAGAATATTAATGTACAGTATAAAAAAATTTAGGAAATTTTTTTAATATAATAAATGTGAAATATCAGTGAAATATATAACTAAAATAAAGTTGGAAATAATAAATTTCTTTAATATTTGGAAAAATAATGTTAATACACATAATTTTTAATATTACCATTATCAATAAAATAATGAAATAAATTTAGATTTTAATTTTAAATATATCAAAAATCTTTTGGATTTTGCAAAAAAATTGAAAATATTTTAAATTTATTTTTCATATTGTAATAACAAATAAGTGAAAAAAATTCAAAATTTGTTTCAAAATTCCTAGAAGTAATCAAAACATAATGTGATTGTTTTTTCATGAAGAAATTTTGATGTGTTTTGGTAAAAATATAAACATGATATGATTGAAAAAAAGGAGAAGTTTTTACATAATAAAAAATATTTTATACATACTTTGTTATCATAGTTATTTATTTGATGCTCTGTGGTGAAGTATCTGTAGCTTTATTTTTATCAAATTGATTTTCAGTGCCGTAGATTAATTACAAATGAGTATATAAGTAATGTTGGTAATTAATATAATATTTTCACATGATGGATTTGAGTTGTATCATGAAAAAGAGGTGTGAAGAAGAAGTGGAGTATTGTATAAAATTGTATAAGATGTTTCACAAAGCACAATTGAAACATTGAACCAATTATGCATAAATTTCTTATTTTTTGTATAAAAAATCAATCATGATAATAAGAATATCAATCAATTATTGTGTTCTCTATCAAAAAAATTTTCATTTAAATATCATAAATACATTAAAATATATCATACATTATACATATACATTAAAATACATCTCTTTAAGCTCTAAAGCTATTAGTACAAGCTGAATTAAAACTCCCAGACCTGCTTGACAAATGAAAAGTGTAACGCGTAATCCATTCGCTGACACCAATTTCCAAAGCGACGAGAAGTTATGACAATGTTGATTTGTACAAAGATCTATCGTCTCTAACTTACAAGAGGTTGGAAATGCAATCTTTTGTGAGGAGCCCTAGTGACATGAGAAAAAGTCCTTTTTCGGTCGGAAGGACCTAACTACTCGAGACACGGAGAGTCCGCGAGAGCTTTGCCGACGATTCGCATGTATACACTGCAAGACTTAGGTGTCTAGAGGTTTGTAGAAAAGTAGGACTTCTAGAATTGACGAGAGATACCAGAAACTAATACATCAGAAACTTACTGCATGTTTTTATTGTTCGTTGGCTTACTCACAAAAGGCGCTCAAAGTCAGAATTTGTTCACGAGTCGTCCATGGGTTAAAACCTCACCAAGCAAGCATCCCAGGTGTGGACTAAAGGATTGCACGGTATCTAGGATTTGGTGTATGTTTACATGGATATTACATGTTGAGGTTTTTAATGGTGTTCACACCAAAGTTTGTAGTGGTTTTTGTGACGGGGAATATCAATATGTTGTAAATTTACGGAATACCCGTACTTTTGGCATCAATATTTACTCCTTTGTGTGACACAAATCACATTTAGTTGCATGCTACTGTATATAACATCCAGAATTTGATTAGGCTCATATATTATTCTCTGAAG